AGCCCCTCTGGTCTTCAAAGCCAAATGTTAAGGGGATTCATGTTCCTGTGTGGGCTCCCTGGTGTGACCCTCTGCTTCCCGCCCACGGGTCCCTTCCTCCAGCGGACAGTCCCATGGTCTATTTAGCCCCTTCAGCAACTCTGCCCTTCCCACCCTCTCCAGTGTGGTCTCTTCTCTACATTTAGTTGTGGAGTTTGTTCTGCTGGTGTTTGGGTTGTTTTCCGGATTATTTACCCTGATGGAACTTTTACCTAGTTGTATCCGTGGGATGGGGTGAGTTTAGTTTCCTACTCTGTGTACCTTCCATTTTCTACAAAAAGCCATCTCTGTTGATTTCTCATCTTTTAAACTAAGATAGACTAATATATTCTCTGAACGTTTCAGGTTCTTCACTTATGGCAATTTTCCGTTAGAACAGCATCTGAAACAAATTCACGAAGAAGCCCTGAGTAAATTTGAGAAAATTGAGCCAAACACTGCAGTGCCGGCTCAGAAGCCTTGGGATAAGCCAGTAAGTGCGCCATCCGGAGAATAGGCAGTGTTTTTACCTACTAAATACACTGACGTGAAGAGTGTAAGATAAGAGTGTAAAATAAGAGTTTTGAATGTTGTGGCCCCTGACTTGAATGTAAGAGCTTCTTTCTTTCTTTCTTTCTTTCTTTCTTTGAGAGAGCGAGAATGAGAGAGAGAGCACATGAGAGGGGGGAGGGTCAGAGGGAAAAGCAAACTCCCCGCTGAGCAGGGAGCTTCTTAACCCTAAGGCATGGTTACTTGTTTGAAAAGAAAATTTAGTGAAGAGCATCTCTTGGACCCTTTTGTACCTGTATGGGTAACTTACTCTGTTTAAACCCAGTCGTTCGTACTCTGCACCTACTTAAAGCATCACATTGTTTTACAGAGAGAATTCCATATAACATGTGGCCCAGACTCACTGGCTGCAGGTTCCTCTAAACAAACAACCGTCGGGGTCAGCTTCCTCTTACCAGAGTAAGTGTCCATTGTGAAGTGGGACAAGCGCAGCTTAGCCAGGTGGAGGCGAACTCTCCACATTTAATGGCTCGATGGTGAGGATTTAGGAGTTGAGCAGCTGTTGGATGGCAGGGAAGGTGCTAACAACATCTGGGGTGGTTTGGGGGGTAATTGCCTTTAGTAGCTACCCAGAAAAAAAAGTAACTTCTTACCTCATTTTAAAGCTTACTTCTGGGGAGAAAACAGGCTCGGACATCAGTTATTAACATTTCTGGGGGTGGGATGCCATTGAGCGTGAGGAGAGCACAGTGAACACTGGCTTCAAAACAATGTACTACCCATGGAGCTCTGTCATCGTAGAGATGTGGTCGGCTGCGGGCACATGGGCGGGCAGGTGTCCTCAGCTGTGCGGCGGCAGGCTTGGCTGCCTTTGGTGGCCGTGCTGCTCGACCAACTGCCCCATCTCCTCACTGCTCTTGTCTGTGTGTGGACATGCACTTGTAATTGAGATGACACAGGTCAGAGTCCTTGGTGTGCTGTGATGGGATGACATTTGATATGCAGCCAAGTCAACTTGATGGTTCGGGACTCCAAAATGGTCTAGTTTATGAGAGCTTTACAAACTAAAAAAACAGTTCACTCTCTTTTTTCCATATAACTTAAAAGTTAAAATGCAAGCATTTGTAGAACATCTGCTTCTTTAGAAATAAAAGTGTTGATTTAGTAGCGATTTTAATGATTTTGAAAGCATTTACGAGGGCCAACAGTTTCCCTTTTTCTCTCCCCCTCTACCCCCCACCCTCCCCGTTTTTAAATGAAGCATCACTGATACGTTTGAAGCCTTCACGTTAAACCTTCTGTCTTCACTCTTGATCAGTGGACCCAACTCCCCCTTCTACAAAGCATTAATTGAATCTGGACTTGGCACAGACTTTTCTCCTGATGTTGGGTAAGTTTCATTATCCGATCAGATCAGTGGTGTTTGCATTTGGGGCCAGCTTTGACATTTGACAGTATCTGGACATGTTTTTGGTGCTCACAACCCCGGGGGGTGTGGAAGAGGTTATTGGTATCTGCTGGGAGGAGTGAGGGATGGAGAGTGTTGATATCCCACAGTCATAGGATGGTTCCGCTGCTGCCCCAGCACAGAACTGTGCATGAGAACACTAGTCCAGTACAGCTGTTTTCTATCCCCTGGAGGGCACATTCGGGAAAAGAAAAAAGAAAGATAGCTTGACCAAGATCTCAGAATGGTGTACGGCTGCCTGCTTTGAACGCCAGGTTGAAATATTTTTTCAAATCTTAAGATTTTGTAAAGCTCAGCCGTTTCATTTCTAGATTTAATTTTGCCGTAACTCAAGTTTAATTGCATTGATTTTTAGAAATGTGAAAAGGGCATGAATGTAATTGTGAGCAGTTATATCTGAGGACTGCTTCAGTGGGCTTTTTCTTGGAAGACTTAGGACGTTGGAGTGTCCGTAGTTCTGTTCTCCAGAGTATTGGATCTCTTGAGTTGTCGGAATTCTGCCATGTGACCCACTTGTGTATTGTAGATACAACGGCTACACACGGGAGGCCTACTTCAGCGTGGGCCTGCAGGGGATCGCGGAGCAGGACACCCATGCCGTTCGGGACATAATTGACAGGACAATCGAGGAAGTCATCGAGTGCGTGTGGCTTGCACTCTGCAGTACC